ATTTACAAAATATCTTCATGGAACATGATCTTTACTTAATATCCTAATGATTTTTGGCATAAAAGAAAAATCAATAATTTTGACCCATACAATGTATTTTTGGCTATTGCTACAAATATACCCCAGCGACTTAAGACTGGTTTTGTGCTCCAGGGTCACATATATACTACAATATTTATAATAAAAATTTCACAAACTAATATACATATATTTTTACATTTAATTTTAAATTATATGAATTTTATATTTAATACTTTTTAGAGGTTTATACATGGTATATTACGTTATATATCATTGTATTTTTTTTATATGATTGCATTGGCTATTTTCATGAAAATTAAGCACTTTCCAACTCTTCCAATAATGATTATCTTTAGATTATCCTTGCTCTACTACTAGATTTGTTTTAATCATAAATTTAAGGTACTAGAACAAACACTAAATGTTGTATATCATTTTACCTTCCCAATTCAATTAAATAAATTACAAAATAATTATCAAATTAAAAATAACAGCAGCAATAATCAAAATAATATACATAAAAATTTCACAAATAAAGTGTTTTTCCATTTTATGTCAAATTTAATTAAAATTAAACTATAGTATTAAATTTAATTAAGCTTCTAAGGCAAAAAAAGCCTTAGTGATTGTAAAAAGCAAACTATTTTTTTAAGAATAAATATGAATTTATTCTTATTTATTCTTAATCATTTTTGAGTGAAACATAAGCAATGTTCTTAATAGGCTGTGTCTGTGAGAATCACCCAGATACAGCTTGCAAGAGGTGATCACTAGATGTCGGTCTTAAATCAGGTAGACATTTATCAGATCAGAGTGACAGCAACAGCCTGATCTTCACATCCTCCTGCCAATACACTGGAGATTTAAACATTCCTTGACATTTTTTCCTCTTCTGCGTTACAATATCAAACACTATCTGTTGGTGGCATTTCTAAACATTATGAGCTCCTAACAGCTTGGCAAAGCTAGCATACTGCTGTATGAAAAAGAAAAAAAAAGAAACCCTGACTATATAACAGTGTACCCCTGGCTTTGAACTTGAAAATTATTCGATTAAACAGCAGAATTAGGACTGGCTGTGCGGAGCTGTACGGGAAGTCAGGAAGTTAAAAGGAAATCAGTCGAGTATTTGATTCAGTTAATTATTGCTGTCATCCTGCATACAGTTCAGCTAGCAGTATTCTCTAGTACTGTAGGAGGCCTCTTCCACAAATAAGGTACAAAATATCACCAGAAACTAGAGCTGGGTAAAAAAAATATTGATATCTCGATATTAATCGATTCTCATTTTTACGGAACGATATCGATTCTTAAATCCCAAGAATCGATTAGTCTAGCCTGTTTTCAGTTAATGGACGGAACATTGAAGGGCACTTCCCATCCAATATATCGCAATAAGCATTGTGCTTTGGTACTTTTAATATGAAACAAAGTCTCAGATTTCAAATTCTGTCCATTGTATTGCAGTATTCAAACAATAAACGGCGTTTTGGCGCTGTTTAATGTGGAGTGACAGACCTCTGTAGTGCCTCAGTTCAACAGACGCAGCAGCGCGAGGCGCACGTGAACTGATCATCTACTCCACATTAACACCTGTTTCAGCACAAAATAAACATGACTAAACATCCGAAGGTAAGTTAAAAGAGAGAGTACAACTTTACAATTCGTATCCTGTCTCATGTAATCACTTAATCAGTGTTTCAGCCACGCGTCAGTATAACGGCTTGTAAATAATGTCACGTAACATTACATTTACCTCAGAAAAACATATTCGGTGACCATAAATTCATTAGTCAGATAGAAAAATACACTGTAGAGAGGGGCATTTTGCTAAATATATGCACCATATAACATATTCATTATACATTTTACTGTTCTTCAATGTTTAATTTATGTTTGAATAAATCCATCAAGTTTGTATGACAGCCACCATATTATGTTTATATTTCAAAAAAACAAATTGAAGTAGAAACATTATTATGTAATTGTAACTATTATTTTAAAAACTTTTTTTCTTTGGTAATTTGAACAAATCAGCCCATTTTAACCTTCAATATCACAGTAATGTAGTACCAACTGACTCTCGTGTATATTTTACAGCATTAGTTGAGATCATTTTTTTCCTTGAGAAAATTTGGCATGTACTGTACCTGATTTATATCCAAAATAATTTATATTGAATCGAATCGAATCAAATTGGTAATCGAATCGAAAGCTTGTGAATGAGAATCAAATCGAATCGTGAAATTTGTGTCAAAACCCAGCCCTACCAGAAACCCTAGAAAAAAAGAGAGGTGTTTGTAATGTAATGCTTTTGTAATGCATTATTGTGCACAATAAGGCTGCATGCAGAATGCAGGACAGCTAAAAAAAAAAAAAATTGTCAAAATTATGATGCTGCATGATTTTATTTGTTGAACACACTCGAGATCATCAACAGTTTTGCGGTGGGACAATATTTTAAGGGGGTGATACACATTTGCTGCATTTTAAACTAGCTACTTTGAACTATATATGTTAATTTTAGATTAGACAACATCTTACCTAACATATCTTACAGTTCTAAAATAAAAAATATGGGAATTTACAGAGCTAATGCTAATATTACAGAGTAACACAACACCGATTCGTTTCTAATCATGGAAAGAGGCATGGAAGCATAAATGTTACCTGTCTGTATGTGTCCTGATGGTGCTCGTCATTACGGGAGTCGTAGTACTGCTCAATAAAGCCAAAGTATTCTTGCCGCTTCCTCTGCAATGTGCTTTCTCTCCGCTCTGCATTAGCAGGCAGGTAACCCTGTAAAAAGAGATGTAAATACAAAAGCTAATGTTTACACCAAGCCAGACGAGATACCTCTAAATCAATCTGATATAGATCTGAGTACGCCAACAAAATGTTTGTTTGCCTGCACTAGAATAATAGCTGTTAACTTGGAGTCAGCTGAAATCAGAATTCTGAAAAGTTTTGAGATTTCCCAGAGTTTGAGGCCAAAAGCTGATATCAGTCACATTTAAAGTCACATTTCCTCTTATTACTTGCCATAGCAAGAGAATGAGAACGCAGCAGATGTTCAGGCCCAGAAAAGAAAGTCTCTTGATAAAGTAATTGATTGCATGAAAATCTACAAGCACAGAAATCCATTTATCACACAAGACGCTCCCCCATGTGGCTATTTTTTACTTCCACACTCAGACAAGTTTTGTGACAAGATGTATGTGTGCCAAGGAGAGCTCTTCTTTATGCTCCATTAGCATTTGTACATGTAATTAAGTCTAACAGACTAACACATTATAAATAATGTTCAGATTTTTAAAAGAAAAGGCACACCATAGAGTTAAACCTGAAATTAAACCTGCTATTATTATTAAACCTGATGGGGTACATGGGAGTTGTTCTTCAACTACAGGCACGTTTTACCCTGCAGACCTTTAGAAAACACCTTCCAGACTTGCTAGTGTGTATATATACAGTGTATGGTATATATATGTATATATATATATACACACTGAACAAAATTTTAAACGCAACACGGTGGTTCTTCGCCTCCACGTCATGCATTCAAATCATTTAATGTACAGCTAGCCGTTGATTATCCCGCTTATGCCATGGTCATTTGCCAGCATTCACATATTAAAGATGTTAATAATATTTGCGCTGCAATATTTGACTGGAACGATAAAAATGACGGTTATTTTCGTCAGTTACAACTTGTTAGATGTAGCATTCTACTCGCTTTAAATAAGACAGAGCAGACAAATATATTAAGTAGTGCAGTAAGATTACATTTATTTGAATTAACTGTTGAGTGAGAAAGAGATGCGTATGTGAAGTAGCCTACCGGCGCCATGGTGTTACTTTCGCTGCTGAGAAATATAATGTAGCAATTTAAGCTTAGGTATTTTATACAGGCGCAGGGCAGTGTTGACAACAGCTTATGTGCTCCTGAATGTAATTCAGACACGGTTGGGTGGCAAAATTTAATTTATTTGAATTAATTATAATAAATAGTTATTAGGCTACAATAGTTATTCAAATACATCAGTTCTCCCCATTCAAAATAAAGACAAATAAATAAAGCAGTGCTACATTAAGTTTACTGAAATGCATTTAATTAGATAAAAACGAGAAAAAAAAATCTAAAAGCCTAGCTGAAAGCTTTGGCTCAAAGTTTATTTTATTAGTGTACTTAATGGATGTTGAACTCCATATTTCCATTGATTGTGAAATTAGACATGGAAAAGGGTAGGGTTATTTTAGGTTTAGGCGTGGAGGAGGATGGATCTTTGCTTGTTGAGGCTTGAGATGTAAGAATGTCACTCCACGCCCTCCTCTCCGACAAAGACGGAGCTCAATATGACCGCAAACTAGCCTCGCATCGGTGGCCTTGACACTGACATGATCTGGCGACTCTCCAGTCCGGCGTCAGAGAAGCGACTGACGGCAGTGCTCAGCAAACTATGGTGTGTGTAAATTTCAGTGATACCTTCCACCTGAAAGAATTTAGATTTGGAAAATATTACAGGTTATCTACAAACAGTTTGAACTCATAGGGTGAAAAATTGAATATCTATTAAATATATTAGCTACCTCTTCACAAATATTTTTTAGCATATTGCCGAGGTAGTTGATTCCCATCGGCTCCCTGGTGAACCACACTTCAGTGTCCTTGAGTTTGCACAAAGGGATGCGCCTGGGATGCAGATAAAAGGCTCCGGCGTCGACAGGACACTTTGACAGGTATTTCTTTAAGCTTTCCATGGGACAAAGTGGGTCACCGGGGCACTCAAACATAAATCCTCGAAAATTCTCTCTGTCAGATGCAGTAGGATCTTTGTGATTTTTTTGTTTCTGGGTTATGTGCCAAGGTTAGGTATTCCAAGCCATTCTCATCTTGTCGGAGAACGAAAGACTCTTTAGATAGGTCGCGGTTTCCTTCTCTCCCCCTCCGTGTGAAACACAGCTGTATGTCAAACCAAACTTTCCGTACAAGCCCGATGGGTGTGAATGGGGAGAGCGCAGGTGAATTTTTCATTTTCTCCAGGTCGGACTCAGTGATAAGAGGGTGATGAACGCTGATGTCTTTTCCATTTTTCCTGTAGCGCTTTATAATTGATTTAAAGATGGCATTGCTTGATTTAAAGTCTTTATCATTTATGATGTTGAGTTTTGTGATGTAACGGTTAATACCCGCTCTGATACACTTTATTCGCGGCTGGTAGTATTCTGAACAGAGGCATAAAATTCTCGCAATGTCTCAACAGCATAATTTTTTTTTTTCCGATACAAAAAGTCTTTGAATGTGGTAATTGCCCATTTAGTAGTCTTTTTTTGTATTAACCTCATCCTTGTCGTCTTCAATCTGCTTCAGCTCTGCTGGTGTTATTTCCTTGTACCGTTTTTCTTTACGTTTCTCGTTGATGTTATATTCTTCAGCTCGTCCAGTTCATCTTGTGCCTCTGCCCATTTATCAAAATTGCCATAATGACCGTATAAACTAAATGACACGCGAAAATCCTCCATTTAGCCTAGCTAAGTAAATCGGAAATGTTTACTGTAACTGTCTCACTCTGTATTACTATTCAACTGTAACTCTATGTTACTATGGTTACCAATGTTTATAGGAAGCGCATTAATATAGAACGTAATTAAACTGACCTGGAACTACCTGTGCAGTTAAACGAATTTAATCAACACCTGCCAGCCAATCAGAATCGAGTATTCAGACAGAATAAATAAATATATTTAATTGCTATTAACAGCAAATCCAGCAAATGCTATAAAGACAATAAAGAAATAAAAAGTGCAACAGAAGTGATATATTGAAGCAACTACAGTATATTGAACCATGCACTCCATTTTAAAATTGGGTTGGGTCAGGTCGGTGCAAGGTTTTGTTTACCCTCTGGGTTTCGGCGTCAATCCAATGCCTCTGCAGACCTCTAGGACTGATAGCTTCCAGACTTAAAGATAATTTTAACACAAATAATCTACGAAAAGAACTGCTGTTATTAATAACATGCACAAAAGATGACACGGCACTTATAGATGATTGCTAGGCTTTTCTTAGGTAGTTCCTAAGCAATTACTACGGTGTTCTGGGTTGTTGCCAGGTGATGGCCAGTGTGCTCTGGGTAGTTGCTAATGTGTTCTAGGCAGTCCCTGGTTTCTAGGTTGATGCTAGGCAACTATTAGGGTGTTCTAAATGGTTTCTATGTGGTTGTAAAGCAACTGATACGGTGTCCAAAATGGTTTCAATGGGGTGGCTGCTTGGAGATTGCTGGGGTGTTCTGGTTGGTTTCTATAGATTTATAGACGATTCCTAGGCAAGGCAAGGCAAGGCAAGTTTATTTGTATAGCACATTTCATACACAATGGTAATTCAAAGTGCTTTACATAAAATAAAATAAAAACAATAATCACAACAACAAAACAAGGAATTTAAAAACTTTGAAAATTATTTAGAAAAAATTGATTTAAGAGGTTTAAAATGAATTTAAGAAAACGATTATACATATAATATAGTGCAATCAGTTCGGACATCGCACAGTGCTCATTCAATAAATGCACAGCTAAACAGTTATTATCATCATTCAGAATACTGTGCTAAAGGACATCAATATTGATTGTAAAGTTGCATTAAAAAAAATTAGCAGAGAGAGATATGGATTTATTGTACAGGGAGGGAGGGAGCTAGAGACAGCAACACAAAAATAAAACGAGTCACACCCTAATAATTCAATAGTGTGTTCAGTATTAGAATTTATCAACAAATATATTGTACTAATTTTGACATTTAGGCACATAAGAAACTGTGTTTTAAGACACTACCAGTCAAAAGGTTTTGATCAGTAAGATTTGTATTGTTTTTTTTAAAGAAGTCTCTTCTGCTCACCAAGCCTGCATTTATTTGATCCAAAATACAGCAAAAATAGCAATATTGTGAAATATTTTTATTATTTAAAATGACACATTTCTATTTGAATATATTTTAAAATGTAATTTATTCCTGTGATTTCAAAGCTGAATTTTTAGCATCATTACTCCAGTCTTCAGTGTCACACGATCCTTCAGAAATCATTCTAATATGCTGATTTGCTGCTCAAAAAAAACATGTATTATTATTATTATTATTATTACGTTGAAAACAGATGAGATTTTTTTTCAGGTTTCAGAATAGAAACTTCAGAAGAACAGCATTTATCTGAAATAGAAATCTTTTGTAACATTATAAATGTCTTTATCATCACTTTTGATCAATTTAAAGCATCCTTGCTAAACAAAAGTAATAACTTCTACTGAAGTCTGCAGTAATGATCATGAAAATTCCGTTTTTTGATCACAGAAATAGATTACATTTTAAAATATATTCCAATCGAAAACAGTTATTTCAAATAGTAAAAATATTTCGCAATATCACTGCTCTTGCTGTACTTTGGAACAAATAAATGCAGGCTTGGTGAGCAGAAGAGACTTCTTTAAAAACATAAAACATTTTACAGTTACAAAAACTTACAAAAACTTTTGACTGGTGGAAAGGGGGGGGGGGGCAGATATATTGGGGAAAATGAAGAAAAGGGAAAGGGAAGTGAAGTGAATGTGCAGTACAAGATAGAACCTTTAATTATTTTACACGGCCCCACACTAAGAATTTAGAGCTTTTTATGTGATAGCCATACAAATAATAGGGTTGTCTGTGGTTTCAGAAATTGTTGTGGATGTATAGGCTATATACAGGAAAAAAAGGGGCCAAAATCGCACCTTTTGGGGTACAACAGCTTGTCACTGGAGAAGTACCCTTAAAAGGACATATCTGTTCCTTTTTTTACCCCATCTATGACGCTCGCGGTGATTTCAGCATCTGTCATCTTTCTAAATGAGGACAAATACATGAACAACATCTCCAGAACTGCTCTGAGAGTCACTTCATGAGTATTTTACCGTTTCATTTGAGTAAAACTAGCGTCATATCATATACACACAGAACTGTAAAGGTATTCACGGCAAAAAAACCTAGTAGTAGCATTACTGCTACTACTAGGCTACTAATAATACTACTACTAATAAAAAACTTTATTTTTTTTAAGCAATAATCAAACAACATTTTTTCCATGTTTTAATGGGGTCATATGATGCTTTTTTAAAGATCATTATTTTGTGTATTTGGTGTAACAGAATATGTTGACATGCTTTAATGTTCAAAAAACACATTATTTTTCAAATACTGTACATTATTGTAGGTCTTCTATGCCCCGCCTCTCTCAAACACGTCGTTTTCTACAAAGCCCCTCCTTCCGACAAGCACAGTATGCTCTGATTGGCCAGCTGACCCAGTGCATTGTGATTGGCCGAACACCACAAGCACACGTCGGAAATGTAACGCCCCTTTCCATAATCGCAAGCTTCAGCTTTCAACATAAATGTAAAGACAGCATATAATGTCATTAGTTTTACCATCAGTTCAAGCCTGAAAGGGGAACAGAGTTGCGTGACAGACACAGTGATGATGCTCTTATGTGTTTGCAGTACACAAGCCACGATTAAGAAAGCTGACTCCACTGTGATGTGACCCTGTCTCTCTCTCACGCACACACACGACGTGATACTCTACACGGCGCAAAACTCCGCATTTGAACAGTCAATAGCAAATACTTAAACGATTAAGGAAACATACTTAAAGTAGCTGATTCAGAATACGTGCCAGATTGTCATAGCAAAGTCAGAATTGACCCTTTTTTTAGAAATAGCCTTTGCACAGCCAGCCTTTTAGGCTACTCCCCTAGGTTCACAAAACTGTCGTCCATAAATTGCGTTGCACAAATTCGAACATCTGGGTTGTGCTGTTCTGTTGTAAACAAATCTTAACCAATGATTCCTCATTGCATCTACTTTCGGAAGGCCAAAGAAGTGCTTTTGCTTTCGCACAGAAACACACAGGGTCTCCCTGACATGGCACTACTGAGGTTCCTGAAACCACACCTTCTTTCACACCTTCTTTCTTTGCGTGAACATTACGCAAATATTTCCACATCACCAGCTACATAACACACTAAAGAAAAGGTTTTAAATTTGAATCCCATTCCTCAAATTTCACACATCACAAAGTATTTCATTTGCATAATGCCCGCCTACGTTCTGCGTGGACATCCCGTGAAAACAAACTTCAAACGCTGTAGCTCATTCGTGTAGATAACGTAATGTCAAGAAGATGCTGTGCTCTGCGCTGTGAAAGTGAATTTGGTTTATTTTCACTTCCAAAGGATGAAGCTGTGAAGAATCAGTGGTTAAAATGTATCTTTACTAAGATACCACGGCAGTATAATCAAAGTTTTGCTGTGTTCTCGTCATTTCACTGATGACTACGTCTCCAATCTCCGCGAGTTCAATGCGGGATTTGTAAACCGGTTGTCTTTGAAAGATGGGTCAGTGCCCAGTTTGTTTGAACCAGCTTGCTCCTCCGAATCACAATCTGTAAGTATGATTAATAATTGCTGCTTTGATGTTCTGTCGAGCGTACAAAATATATAGTTGGGTATACAGTCAGTGCAGCTGTAAGTCTCCAGCTAACTCACGCTATAGTTCTGCTAATCAGCTGTGGGCCTGCTATTGTCTAGAAATATGTGGATTAATACAGAATGTCTGACTTTCTTATTACTTGGAGTCATGATAAATGATGAAGCAATACATTGGTTTACAAACTGCAGTGCTTTATCAGTACTCTTTGCCTGTGTCCGGCTAACACATGTACCATTATTGTTTGGGTCTTTACTACCAAGATGTGGGTCTGGTTTGCTAACATAAGCGTAAAACAACTTTTTCCCCTCCGATTCTTTTTTTATTTTTAGAACAGAGTGGAGCACTATCATTATAATAATAAGATGAATTATTGATAAGCTGTATTCCAGTACTGGTGATGGTGATGAATAAAAATTACTGCCTTAGCAAACACCACTAATGAAATCTTTATTTTCTAGTGGTTACCTGACAAAAGAGAAATTATTTCTTCTTAGGAAAGTGTTGAGCGTGGTTTGGTGGCAGTTTATGAGACGTCAGCAGGATGCACAAAATTGATCACATGTTAAAGCGCCTGTTCAAATGGTGATGCTGCCCTCCGCCGGTCATTACTCTTCTTAAAGGATGCTTTCCAGCTGTTCACACTCGCTGTCCACTCACTCAAACACAAATACACACACACACCGATGAACTCACAACGCCTGTGCAGGAGCTCAATAGCATGGATCGATGGTGTTTGATTGAGTGGGGCTGCAGTCCAGGGTTCAAGTCAAGATGACAGATGAGGTAGCCATAGGCAAATGAAGGTCACATGGGTGAATTGGATGTTTCTGTGTGTGTGTGTATGTGTGTGTGTGTGACCACACACTAGCCTAGAAGGGGGTCAGAATATCAAATATCTTCCTCCATTCCACCCTGTTTCAGACTGACACTTCATCTATCAGTGTTGTAAGAGGGCACACCGCCGCTGTCTGTGTGTCAGAGGGTACGACCACACAACCCCCCCATTATGCCAGTCCTTTCCTGGGGAAATGTCACGCCAATTAATAATGGATAAAAAATATCAGGTATGTAAAGTTGGAAAGTGTAATTTTTTGAAAATCTTTAAATGCTTTCTCCTTTTTTAATATGCAGATTATGCACCTCTTGAGACAAGGGGAGGGAGGTTTACCTGCACAGTTCTTACCAGCTGGCCTCCATCTCAACCCCTTAAACCAAACTCCCAACCGGGTCATGGCACCAATTTAACTGGTCTTAATTCACACTGCTTCATGAGGGAATCGAAGCAGCATCAGTCAGCATGAGAGGCAGGGGAGTGGAGTGCGAGTTATATACACGGCTCTTCTTAGCCCAGAAAACTGACACTACATTCACAACAGTGTTAGGCTCAAAATATTCTATGCAAGTATGTGAACAGAAACACTTCTAGCTATACAAGCCCCATATCATGTGTAACTGGATCCCGAAATGTGTCAGAACACAATTGCGTAATACAATGTGTCATACTGTCTGCACTTACGGTTTTAATTTACTATTATTACTATTTTTTTCTACAAAAACATTTTCTATTCTGAACCCTGTTTATAGAGCCCAAAGTTAAAGAAAGAAAGAGCTTTAAATGACAGCAGGCACTTCAGCTGGCATGGACAAAACAGCATGATTCGGGAATGTTCCAAAGAGCATCTTGTGCGATTCAAAATAAACAAGTGAATAAGGTTCAAGGGTCTGTCTAACGGATACAGGGTTTGCTCATTCACTGATTCAGGTTTTGCACAACCACTGAAATGGTTTAATGTACGATACGTTTTCATTCGACTGGACCTCTGAGCTTCCAGGCAGAAGTCATCCTGGAAGTCATTAGTAGGAAGCCTAATTACTTATAAATGTGTATTTATGTAGAATGCATTATGTATTCTTTGATTCATCTTGTAATGGATGTACGCTGTAGTTCTCTAATGAGCTTGACCATTTGAAGCAGGACTTCACTGTGCGCTGAGATTGTTCCACTTACTGAGAGCAGCTTCCATGTGATTGGGCGCACCTGCCGCGGAATTCCAGACCAGCTCAACTTCCGAAGCTCCTCTGAGGATACAAAAGATTTTTATTAGAGAGAAAGTCACTTCTCAAAGCAGTAGTATGAGTTTCTTCATCATGAATTGACTAAATTATTAATAATCAGTCCAATCAAGATTTTGCAGGACTCTTTTCAGTCATTTCAAAATTATTCTAACAATGAATAACGTGAACTATGAATTATATACAAATTTTTGACTTCATGCCGACTTGAAAAAAAATGCAAACAGGTCTTGATACCACTAGTCCTGGTCATGGTGCTCTTTAAAACATTCTTACATAAACTGTCCCACTGAATTGAATGGCAATTTATGCAAGAATACTTATACAAATGACTTCTGCTGAAAGTTGTTCTGCTCATTTTTCCTGTACGAGGCCCAGCTGTGCACATGCGTATTTCAGCGAGTGCCGACCAGTTATCATCTTGGAAATAAACACAGCTATTCTGTATTGAGTTCAGTTTTGTACGAGCAAATTTTTACCTTCCTTTTCTGATCAAAAAAGATGAAGAAATAAGTAAAAAATATGGCTGCTTTGTCATCAGAAATAGGGTGCATACAGAAATTAGTGCAGTCTACATACTGCAAACAAAGTATAACTGTAGTATTTCATTCAAATATCCGCTGAAACATTCAGAATAGCAAATACACTACAAATATGGTGACATCAAGGCATCTCTGATAAACTGTTTTCAACATATAATTATTTGAGATGCACTAATCTGACATATTTAATAGTGTGGATAGCTTGCAAAACAGGATCACATTTGAAATCTATGGGCACACCATGCTTTCAATAAGCACTGCATGAGTGCGTATTTGTGAACACAAGAGCGCTAACGTAAATAAATCTCAGTGAGGCAAATTTGACTTTTAAAATGGGCAAAGAGTCCCTGCACAGCCTTAAAAAAGTGAACAAGCACTTTAATACCAAATATTTCTCATTTCATATCTGTATCGCATATTTCAAGGGTTGATGGCAGCAATCATAATGTGTTGAATGTGGATTAGTCATTTATCAGGGCCTTGACAACAGGCTGCAGTGTAATGTGCATACATTTTATTTGACATCAAAGATAAATCCAAATTCCTGAAACCACACCTTCTTTCTTTGCGTGAACATTACGCAAATATTTCCACATCACCAGCTACATAACACACTAAAGAAAAGGTTTTAAATTTGAATCCCATTCCTCAAATTTCACACATCACAAAGTATTTAATTTGCATAATGCCCGCCTACGTTCTGCGTGGACATCCCGTGAAAACAAACTTCAAACGCTGTAGCTCATTCGTGTAGATAACGTAATGTCAAGAAGATGCTGTGCTCTGCGCTGTGAAAGTGAATTTGGTTTATTTTCACTTCCAAAGGATGAAGCTGTGAAGAATCAGTGGTTAAAATGTATCTTTACTAAGATACCACGGCAGTATAATCAAAGTTTTGCTGTGTTCTCGTCATTTCACTGATGACTACGTCTCCAATCTCCGCGAGTTCAATGCGGGATTTGTAAACCGGTTGTCTTTGAAAGATGGGTCAGTGCCCAGTTTGTTTGAACCAGCTTGCTCCTCCGAATCACAATCTGTAAGTATGATTAATAATTGCTGCTTTGATGTTCTGTCGAGCGTACAAAATATATAGTTGTGTATACAGTCAGTGCAGCTGTAAGTCTCCAGCTAACTCACGCTATAGTTCTGCTAATCAGCTGTGGGCCTGCTATTGTCTAGAAATATGTGGATTAATACAGAATGTCTGACTTTCTTATTACTTGGAGTCATGATAAATGATGAAGCAATACATTGGTTTACAAACTGCAGTGCTTTATCAGTACTCTTTGCCTGTGTCCGGCTAACACATGTACCATTATTGTTTGGGTCTTTACTACCAAGATGTGGGTCTGGTTTGCTAACATAAGCGTAAAACAACTTTTTCCCCTCCGATTCTTTTTTTATTTTTAGAACAGAGTGGAGCACTATCATTATAATAATAAGATGAATTATTGATAAGCTGTATTCCAGTACTGGTGATGGTGATGAATAAAAATTACTGCCTTAGCAAACACCACTAATGAAATCTTTATTTTCTAGTGGTTACCTGACAAAAGAGAAATTATTTCTTCTTAGGAAAGTGTTGAGTGTGGTTTGGTGGCAGTTTATGAGACGTCAGCAGGATGCACAAAATTGATCACATGTTAAAGCGCCTGTTCAAATGGTGATGCTGCCCTCCGCCGGTCATTACTCTTCTTAAAGGATGCTTTCCAGCTGTTCACACTCGCTGTCCACTCACTCAAACACAAATACACACACACACCGATGAACTCACAACGCCTGTGCAGGAGCTCAATAGCATGGATCGATGGTGTTTGATTGAGTGGGGCTGCAGTCCAGGGTTCAAGTCAAGATGACAGATGAGGTAGCCATAGGCAAATGAAGGTCACATGGGTGAATTGGATGTTTCTGTGTGTGTGTGTATGTGTGTGTGTGTGACCACACACTAGCCTAGAAGGGGGTCAGAATATCAAATATCTTCCTCCATTCCACCCTGTTTCAGACTGACACTTCATCTATCAGTGTTGTAAGAGGGCACACCGCCGCTGTCTGTGTGTCAGAGGGTACGACCACACAACCCCCCCATTATGCCAGTCCTTTCCTGGGGAAATGTCACGCCAATTAATAATGGATAAAAAATATCAGGTATGTAAAGTTGGAAAGTGTAATTTTTTGAAAATCTTTAAATGCTTTCTCCTTTTTTAATATGCAGATTATGCACCTCTTGAGACAAGGGGAGGGAGGTTTACCTGCACAGTTCTTACCAGCTGGCCTCCATCTCAACCCCTTAAACCAAACTCCCAACCGGGTCATGGCACCAATTTAACTGGTCTTAATTCACACTGCTTCATGAGGGATTCGAAGCAGCATCAGTCAGCATGAGACGCAGGGGAGTGGAGTGCGAGTTATATACACGGCTCTTCTTAGCCCAGAAAACTGACACTACATTCACAACAGTGTTAGGCTCAAAATATTCTATGCAAGTATGTGAACAGAAACACTTCTAGCTATACAAGCCCCATATCATGTGTAACTGGATCCCGAAATGTGTCAGAACACAATTGCGTAATACAATGTGTCATACTGTCTGCACTTACGGTTTTAATTTACTATTATTACTATTTTTTTCTACAAAAACATTTTCTATTCTGAACCCTGTTTATAGAGCCCAAAGTTAAAGAAAGAAAGAGCTTTAAATGACAGCAGGCACTTCAGCTGGCATGGACAAAACAGCATGATTCGGGAATGTTCCAAAGAGCATCTTGTGCGATTCAAAATAAACAAGTGAATAAGGTTCAAGGGTCTGTCTAACGGATACAGGGTTTGCTCATTCACTGATTCAGGTTTTGCACAACCACTGAAATGGTTTAATGTACGATACGTTTTCATTCGACTGGACCTCTGAGCTTCCAGGCAGAAGTCATCCTGGAAGTCATTAGTAGGAAGCCTAATTACTTATAAATGTGTATTTATGTAGAATGCATTATGTATTCTTTGATTCATCTTGTAATGGATGTACGCTGTAGTTCTCTAATGAGCTTGACCATTTGAAGCAGGACTTCACTGTGCGCTGAGATTGTTCCACTTACTGAGAGCAGCTTCCATGTGATTGGGCGCACCTGCCGCGGAATTCCAGACCAGCTCAACTTCCGAAGCTCCTCTGAGGATACAAAAGATTTTTATTAGAGAGAAAGTCACTTCTCAAAGCAGTAGTATGAGTTTCTTCATCATGAATTGACTAAATTATTAATAATCAGTCCAATCAAGATTTTGCAGGACTCTTTTCAGTCATTTCAAAATTATTCTAACAATGAATAACGTGAACTATGAATTATATACAAATTTTTGACTTCATGCCGACTTGAAAAAAAATGCAAACAGGTCTTGATACCACTAGTCCTGGTCATGGTGCTCTTTAAAACATTCTTACATAAACTGTCCCACTGAATTGAATGGCAATTTATGCAAGAATACTTATACAAATGACTTCTGCTGAAAGTTGTTCTGCTCATTTTTCCTGTACGAGGCCCAGCTGTGCACATGCGTATTTCAGCGAGTGCCGACCAGTTATCATCTTGGAAATAAACACAGCTATTCTGTATTGAGTTCAGTTTTGTACGAGCAAATTTTTACCTTCCTTTTCTGATCAAAAAAGATGAAGAAATAAGTAAAAAATATGGCTGCTTTGTCATCAGAAATAGGGTGCATACAGAAATTAGTGCAGTCTACATACTGCAAACAAAGTATAACTGTAGTATTTCATTCAAATATCCGCTGAAACATTCAGAATAGCAAATACACTACAAATATGGTGACATCAAGGCATCTCTGATAAACTGTTTTCAACATATAATTATTTGAGATGCACTAATCTGACATATTTAATAGTGTGGATAGCTTGCAAAACAGGATCACATTTGAAATCTATGGGCACACCATGCTTTCAATAAGCACTGCATGAGTGCGTATTTGTGAACACAAGAGCGCTAACGTAAATAAATCTCAGTGAGGCAAATTTGACTTTTAAAATGGGCAAAGAGTCCCTGCACAGCCTTAAAAAAGTGAACAAGCACTTTAATACCAAATATTTCTCATTTCATATCTGTATCGCATATTTCAAGGGTTGATGGCAGCAATCATAATGTGTTGAATGTGGATTAGTCATTTATCAGGGCCTTGACAACAGGCTGCAGTGTAATGTGCATACATTTTATTTGACATCAAAGATAAATCCAAATTTTAAATCAAGAGGTTGGTTTAAAAATTCATACAATAGACGAAATGTGCCATGAATACAAGAGCGCTCTGGGGAAAGCGTTTTTATTTTCCTGAAAACTAACCTTTCTGATATCAGAGCTTAATGTTTCTTGTGCAGTTTCTTTGTCAAGGCAAAATGAAGACTGAAGCGAATAAATAATGAATAGTGTTGTTATGACTGCCATGCAAATATGAGTGACTGTGAAAACATAAACATGGTCTCCTTATTCACACATCATTCATTATTATTGATGGCAAGCCTATTCGCAGAGACACCTCAAAGGTTTACGCTATCAATCGTATTTCCACTCAGCTCTAAAATGATCATTTTGACTAAATAATTTTTTGAATTACATCACAGGGACCACCCAGACTTTTATTTTATCTAATCTGCAAAAGGGAATCTTTCAGAAAACATGAGTATGATATATTACGGTTATAACCCATCTCAACACGTATTCAGTATGTATAATTTAACTTGGTGGCATTTATTTATCTATTTTTGTTTTTATGTGCCCTTGTTACATGTTACATACTGCATATACCAAAGTAATAACAGTAAATTATGCACAATTGCAAGCAACTTAGCCCTTACCTATTGTATGCTTATTAACACGATTCATACATAATTGTGATTTGTGGAATTACACTTTAACAAGGACAAATTCAAATAAAGTGTGACCATTGATATTAACAATTCATATAATAATACAGGTGTTTCTGCGAATAGTTTCCCAGAAAACAATGGGGGAAAATACCGGAAAATTGTCTATAAATTCTGTCAACAGAATATTTGTCCACCCAAAAGTAATAATTACAGATTATTTCACAGAAGAAAAAAATATATATACAGTTCTGCTTGTGGAAATCTAGCCATTGTAACTTTAAGTGCCTTTGTTTCCAGGCAGACTGATAATGAAACCTGTGTCCTTACACCTGGAAGTTCATCCAGACAATGGGAAGAAGTGATTTAGCCAGCTGTTGCCTTGTGCAATATGTTTCAGACACAAAGGACAGATGGTGGAAAATAGTCAGGAAAAACTAAATTATGACTATGGAGCAAGAAACTTTGATCAAGATCATAAATAAATAAACGAATAAATCAATTTAAAACCAAAATAACTGTTTTTGTTTACATCTAAACGTAACAGTCCTACATTCCATTCACTGCAGGGAAAAGAGCAGCCTAAACATTCTTCAAAACTTCTCTTTTTGTAATTCACGAATGAAAAGAAGTCATACAGGCTTGGAAAAACATGACGGTAAATGATGACAGAATAATAATTTTTGGATGAATTATCCCTGAATCTCATTTCGGGGGTCAGCCATGCAGTAATCTAGATCTTCATAATGTCTTCATTAAGCTATAGATCATTATAAAAGAACCATTTCCAGTCTAACAAATGCTTTTCAGCAGATCTTCATGGCCCTCGTGCAATACCTGCATGGCTAAAGTGTAAGTACAGAGGGCATGAGTGTGTGTTCTCTCCAGGCAGGTATGCTGGTGTAGTATATGAGGACGGTAGGCTGTCCTGACACATTGAAGGCTAGCTTTAATG